TTTGAGGATTTAATTTTTTTGAAAGGGCCCCCTTTTTCAAAAAACCCCCCCCCCCCCCCCAAAAAAAAAAAAAAAAAAAAAAAAAAACTGCTGGCTATGGGCCTGAATATTGTGAAATTTGTTTATGAAGGCTGACACACAAGAATCACATATGGTACGTAGTGGTGATTCCATATACCCTTATCCATGTACAGTATATAGCGAGGCATTAAGCCTGATTCTGGTGACACAATAATGGAAGTACAAACAATCACAATGGGAGAGTGTTGCCAGAAATGATATTTAAAGTCGAATTTTACCTTTCAGTTTCCGAGATTCCGTTTCACAAGCTTACACATGTACGTGTACGCGTTATTTTGATATCTAATTCTTTTCAGAGAAACAAATGTACACTTTAGGGCTCATTTAGTCTAAATAGTAAATAGAGATAACGATCGGATCTCTGGAAAGCTATTGCCGCACGACATTATGTTACAAGTACATCATCTAATATTAGCTACGTTACTGTACATGTATACTGGGAGCGAAAATGACAAATTACCTGCGAATAGGACTAAAACAATGTAAACTCCAATATATATCCAAAACTCTTCATCTTTAAATGTAAGCTTACGCTCCTCCAGGTTATATATGGTTCCATTACATAAAACCTCTTGGGAGGATAGAAGTTGGCATGTAATATTCTTCACTTCCATTGCACAAATAGTGCTTACCTACATAGTTCATCAACTGTCCACCAGGCGGAAGAAATTATACAAGAGATCCCATGCATTCTTCTTAATTTAAATAATACTTGTATCGTTAGTGTAACATGCACTAACGTTTTTATTATAGATTATGTCCCTACTGCCATATAGTGTTAGGCCATAATCCTTTAAAAAGAACAAATAGACTCAGTCGGAAATACTCGGATGTCTCCGCACTCGACATTAGTCAATCGGCAATCCTCGGCTGATTCCGCAAGCTGCATACAATATTTAAATCCTATATTTACATTAAACATTTGTTATATGAAATAAAAATTTTAAATTCTGGGTATTTTTATAACTGTTCACTTTTTTATACGCCCTGTATGGTATGAAGTATAGTAGTATGAATAGACTAATGAAACAAGAATAGAATGACATTACGGAACTCCCTAGTTCTAAAAATAGCGTGGGGAAAAAATGCACATGGGGATTTTTTTGTTGGGGTAATCTTACGAATTATTTCTTACTAGGACTTGCGCTGAGTTGCTACATTGATTCTTTCAAAAACACGTATTTTCATCAAAAAGTCGTAGGATTACACGGAGATGTACAAAACTGACAAAAGTCAGTGGAATTGATGATTTCACTTGAACTAGCAAAGGTAACGTAACATACCAGTATGTACTGTACATGTACATACTGTACGAGTTTTTATAGCAGACGACAGAACGTGCATATTAGAGGTTTTTATGTACAGACACCCATTGTACCTTTTGGCTTGAATTGACAGAACTGATGAATATTCATAATATGCAGGTCAAGTTCGAAAATCAGCATGTTCAGTCCATTTTTATGGAAGTTATGCTGTTTTTTGTTTTTTTACCTTTTTCAGCGTATATGCAACACCGATAATGCAATTTAAGTGAAAAAACGTTTTACCTTTTGGCTTGAAACTTACAGAACTGATGAATGTTCATAATATGCAGGTAAAGTTTAAAAATCAGCATGTTCCAGGCCATTTTTATGGAAGTAATGCTGTTTTTTTTTCAGCATGTATGCAACACCGATAACACGATAAGTGGAAAACCATTTTACCTTTTGGCTTGAAACTTACAGAACTGATGAATAGGCTGAGTCCAGTCTGCGCCAAAAACTTTTTTGACTACTAGCCCTTCGGGCTAGCAGACTCTCAAACTTTACTAGCCCAAACCAAAAATCACTAGCCCAATTTAAATAATTCATTTAAAAAGTTTAAGCAGATGTTGTAAAGAGTTGTGGTACCATACTGTACTTTCTTGTAAACCTTATTATAGAAGTAGAGCAAGTGAATAACAAAGTCAATCAGGTTAATTTTCAGTTGATGGGGTGGTAAAATTGATTTAAAATATAATTATTTAATATTGAAAAAATTCCCTTTTTTAATATGTAATACTGAAAATAGTTACCCTTACTTTTCATATTTTTATAATACCTTTCTTTCCATTTTTATATGCAATCAAAAATTTTTTTAAATTCCTATTCTTTTTATTGACAATGGCTCTTTTCCGACAATTTATTTCCAATTACATCAGTACATAATGCCACTTCTAATTTAAAATACATAGGTGCTGTAAGGGTAATTAAACAAACGTCTTGCAATTTTTTTGGTTACAATTCTTTTGGTTATACAATTGTAAAAACAACTTTTCAAGTGTGGAGGGGTAGCCATGGCATAAACCCAACTATCCCACATTGTCAAGAATAGTTCATAGGGTATTTATGTCACATGTAACTGCCAGGGTCTTATTGTTTTTAAAAGGCAATAAGCAAAGGAAAATGTATTAACTCGTGGATATTAAAATTATAAATAAAAAATACAAACAAAAAAGGAAATAGAATACTACACCCCTCAGTCTGCTAAGTGGTCCTAACCCAAATGTTCCATGAGATAAAGCATACATTACACTTGCTTCGGAGACAGTGTTGTTTTGACAAAACCTGTTGCTAGTACCAAGGAATTCCGGTCTGATCCAGTAACTTGATTGACAGCAATTTGTAGTCATGACAACAAACTGGTCAAATAAGAAGATGCCGACACGCTGATCAGACAGACTGCTGCTATAAATAACTACAGTGAAGTTATTTATAGCAACTAATCAATATTCAGTAGTTAGAGCTAGGTGTGAGATTTTTCAACTGAGAGGCATATCTTACTATCTAGAAACGTCAAATTAGAGGCAGGGGCACAGAAGACTGGCGACTTATATTTTTGAAATCTTACTGAGTGTTACAATAGGCTCAAAATTTCAACTAGCCTGTTCGGGCTAGTGCTTTATAAAATTTCAACTTTTTTACTAGCCCGGTGCCACTTTAGGTAGGCAATTGCCTCTGGCTAGTGCCTAACGTCACAGTTCAAGTTGGAAAAGCAGCTTGATCGGACCATTTTCACTAAAAGTTATACTGTTTTTTATTGTTATTTTTTGCTTTTTTCTGCATATATGCAACACTGATAACACATTTTAAGGAAAACATACTGATCAGCTACCCTCTACCAGGGTGACTGAAAGATTTTTTTTACAGATATTCACAGATATGTCTCTAGATAGATAGATAGATGGTCATTTGGTTCTACGACTATTCCTTATTATTATTTTTTTTTTATACTTTTATTGATTTTATATTATATATAATATTGAATACATATGTTGGGTATTTTTTGGTGTAATTCGCCTTAGACAATATTGATAGTACTGGTAATATTGATAGCATACATAGTGTAGATAGTGATATAAATGGTGTGCTTTCTGAACTCTCACAACTTTTATTTGGTGTTCCTCAGGGGAGCGTGCTTGGCCCGCTTAAGTTTTGTGTTTACACGTTACCCCTTGGAGCAATTCTGCATTATCATAAGATAGGTAACCACTTTTATGCTGATGATACCCAATTGTACACATCTTGTAACATCCATGATCCAGCATTGTCTGTGAACACAATTGTTGATTGCATATCAGACCTCAGAGGTTGGCTCATTTCAAACAAATTGAAGATAAATGATGGAAAAACAGAATTTTTAGTCATTACTCAATCCCACAACAAGGGCCTTGCTCACAACTTGCAGCTTAAAATTGGAGCTAGTATGGCATTTTCCTCCCCCCATGTAAAAAAATTAGGAGTATACTTTGATTCTACACTTTCAATGGACAAACAGATCTCCTACATCACAAGGTCTTGTTTATTCAACATTCGGAATATTGGCACCATAAGGAAACATCTGAATCAATCATCTGCTGCTACTGTTATACACTCATTGGTAACTCCCAGGCTAGACTATTGCAATTCTGTATTATATGGATGTCCAGATGATAAGATCAAAAGATTACAACGCATCCAGAATATCTCAGCACGGCTTTTAATGCTACAGCCTAGGGATTGCCATATCACTCCAATTTTAAAGCATCTGCACTGGTTACCAGTTAGGGCCAGAATTTTATTTAAGGTTTTAGTTTTTACACATGCTGCTTTTTATAATCTAGCTCCACCATATATAACTGATCTAGTCAAACATTATAGCCCTCAAAGATCCTGCGGTCTGGTGACAAACTTTTACTGAAAGTTCCAAAATCAAGGTTAAAATCATATGGTGACATATCATTTTGTGTAGCTGCACCAGTAGAGTGGAATAAGTTGCCAATTTTTATTAGACTAATAGAATCACAAGAATCTTTTAAAAAGGAATTAAAAACTCATATTTTTAAGACATTTTATTCATGAATTTTAAATTTTACAATTTTAAAGAAACCTTGGATTTTTTACTTTTAATTACTGTTTATTACAATTTAGTTTAGCTCTTATTTATATAAAATATATCTTAACCATTTTTATCTATAAACTTCTTTGTATTTTATGTTGTACAGTCTATTGAACATTTTATGGATTTTAGACTTGAAATAAATATATTATTATTATTATTATATTGATAGTGTGCATAATATAGATAGTGATATTAATAGTATAGATATTGAAAGTAGATGTTTCCTGATATATTGAATGATGCATTCCATATCTCATCATTTCAGAACGAAAAGGTAACGGCATGAAGACGGAGCAGTTGGCCAGGTGCATTTTTTACATCTTACTGATCATTGTGTGCAGTACCAAACCAGTGTTAAAATATATACCAGTATCACTTCAGTATGCCACTGAACATCTGTCATGGCACCTTTGGTGCTGTGTTGTGTTAGGCCTATTGAAAAAAAATCTCACAAACAAGATGGATATAAATGTATGGACCAGTCTTTCGGAAAATCCTCTTTATGTGCAGTGAACTGTAACGTTTTTTCCAATACGAAGATAATCAAACATTTTCACCCTAAGCACAGGAGACATAAACACTTACACGTTCTAGGAATTCATATTATTCAATACAAAAAGGACATCTCCTTTTCTTTTCATCGCAAAAAACGACTAAAACCGACCTTTATGTAGATATTCCTCAAATATTGTTGGGTCATTAAGTGGGATATTCCAGTATAAATATAAATATATATATTAAAATGGCTAGTTCTGGTGATAACGTGAACAGTCTTTCACTTAATTCATATTTTGAACGTTTGCAAAATGGACTTCCATTTGCTCCTGGTGAAGAAATGCAGTATGAAGCGCTGAGGGTCAGTTCGTTTAAAAACTGGCCTGTCACTGCACCCGTGGGAGCAACACGTCTTGCCCGAGCAGGATTTTATTATTCTGGGGAAGGTGACAGGGTCATTTGTTTCTCTTGCAATGGACGTTTGCAGAGCTGGAAACCCGGGGACAATCCAGAGTCGGAACACAGGCGGCATTTTCCAACATGCGATTATATCAAAGGGCTGAGCAACAGGAACGTGCCAATATTAACAACCCCTGCTCCTGGTGCTGGTCAGGCAGCTTTGGAGGAAGATAGAGGGGCTGTCGGCGGCATGTCCTTTACTGTGCAAGGAGGGAGCAATTCTGAAGACAAATCTACAAACACAGCACAAAATAGAGCTGCCCCAGATGGGGTCAGAACATCAGTATACAATAATCCGGAGAACAGCAGTAGCGATTCTTACTACCGCCAAAGCACGTGGGCAAGATTAGAGACGTTTGTCAATTGGCCACATAGCGACATACACCCGCAGACTGTGGCAGAAGCAGGGTTTGTATTCACTGGAAGAACAGACACCGTGCGATGCGTGTTTTGCCAGGGGAAGATGTGTAACTTTGAAACCGGGGACGACCCAATGGCTGAACACCGCCGACATTTTCCACTTTGCAGCTTTGTCAACCAGTCGAATTTGCAAGAAGATGGCACCACTGTTATCGCTAACGAAGCCCTGCTTGCGCTTTCAGAGGAGAGCCCCATAGTGTTTGAAAGGCCAAAGAACCAACAGTTTGCCATTGAGGTTAACAGAGTTCAGTCTTTTACCGATTGGCCAAGAGACAAGTCCCAGACTCCTGCAGAACTGGCACACGCTGGATTCTTTTATGCAGGCTACGATGATAAAGTTAAGGTATGACGCAAGATTTGTAGTTTATATTGGTAATTGAATAGATTTAATAGATAAAAGAAAGAACAAACAAATAACTTAAATGGCAATTATAAACAAAACTTAATTTGCTGAGTCTAAAATTGACAATAACAAAAGTTAGTGAAATGAACGTGACAGTTAATATTTCTGTTTTGAAAATCGATGTGTGATACTGATTGTCGAAAAATGTTACCCTAGTCTTAAATCAACTTTACGCTTAAAAGCTGTAAGAAACATATTAGTTAATATTGTGATACATTTGCAATACATGTAAATTGGTATTTTTTCACCATTTCAGTGCTTTTTCTGCAATGGAGGGTTATGTAATTGGGCACAAGGAGATGATCCATGGGTAGAGCATGCACGCTGGTTTCCTAAATGCGGGTTTGTCAAACAGTGTAAAGGCGTAGACTTCATTAGGGATATCCAAGGGAAAGGAAAATCATCGCCTACCAAGGTAAGGAAATTGGTCAGGATCAGCATGTGTAGGCCTTTTACAGGTTTGATCGTGACAGTACAATTTACTGCACTTTAACTGAAGCCTGTAGAAATCTGACATATATGACACAGGACCATACCATGTTTTTTTATATGTTACACAAAGACGAAAACTTCATAAGGCTTTTATTGTTTTGAGTGGTGAGTGAAATGGCTTTCTCATGCATATTTTATTTATTGCATAATTTAAAGAATGCAAATTTGATGTGTGTTGTATTTTGTTTGTTGGTTCTAGCATATGTCGTATGTATTGTCTTTTAACATATCATTTTATCAAATCAGGGAATAACCATGGAATCTGCCATGACGTCACCTGCTGTTCGCTCAGTTCTGGGAATGGGCTTTGATGTTGCTGTTATTCGGCAAATATTGGAAAAAATGTTCAAAGAAAAAGGTAATTTTTCAACAATTTACTTGACCTGTGTCACAAATGTACATGTTGTAATTTAAAGTCATTACATTTAGTTTGTGTTAATCAAAACCTCTGGGTTAGCTATATCTAGATGCAGGCCCTTATTGTGATGGATGCGGGTAACGGGACGATTTGAGTGCGATGCTTACAGAGCAGGTTAAAAAGGGGGCGTTATTTGTGAAAAGCCTTGAAGTAGACCTCTCCATCTCCATTCACTCTTCCAGTATTTTTTTTTACGCCCAGAAAATATCAGTTAACGCTTTTTTCTACACTCTATCTATTTATTCAGGGCCAGAACCTCCCAGCGCTGAAGTCATAATAGAAGAACTATTTGCCCTGGAAGAAAAGGCCAAAAAGGAGGATAATCAAATGGAAGGGACTTCGCAACAGCTCATCTCTGATTCCGGTAAATTGAGTCTCAAATATGCTGATTTGAATGCAAGGCATTTAAACTTTTTGATTAGGATTGAATTTCGATCATATTTTAGAAGTCTATGCTTTGCAGAATAATAACTAATCGTCGTAAATGCAGTATATTCTTAAAAGAGTATTTGATATTGTAAGCATATTTCTGTTTGCTTGTTACTTCAGAATTTATAAAAATGTTTATTTTTGAAAATATCTCTAAATTTTACAGAGAACCTTGCTGGAAGTGATAATGATATTGACGATGGTGATGACGAAATATCAGGTATAGACTAATACGTATGCCCTTCAATTACTTACGTTTTAATAAAAACCATGAAGGAATCATATTTATTTTCCTTGTATGTTGGAAAGTTAAGATGTTCACATTCATTTTATTGCACCATTTTTTCATAAATGTATATCATTCTCCAAAGGCCTTTAATTCTTAATAAGGCCTTTAATTCTATATTTTAATATTATATATCTATATATTATATTTTCAGTAATGCGTCGTGAAAATCGAGACCTGAAAGAAAGAAGACGTTGTTTCACCTCGTCCTGTACTGAAGATGCAACCGTTCTATTTCTGCCTTGTGCCCATATTACTTGCTGCAAAAATTGCGCTCCAAATGAAAGGAATTGCCCACGATGTTCAAAGAAGATAGCTGCAACCGTGAATACGTTTTTTGTGTAGTTTCCAGATTGCTTATGATCAAGTGCGGGTACTGAATTGAGATTGTGAATAATAAAAAAAAAAACTGATTTGAGATTTTAAATTTAGTTTAAGTGCCAATTTACGATTCACCATAGTGCGGTGTATTTAACCGATCGTATAAGGACTGCATTTCTGATCTGTATTACATTCTTTATTTTATCTTTTAATCCTAGCATACATTATATATTTAAAGACATTTTATTGAGTTAACTGCTATATTAAGTCACCTGCAGTCCATTTAGCTCTGGAAATGAGTTTCGGATGTCGCTGTTTGACGAACTTGTTCCATTTCCATTCTAAAAAATATTAGTCAGAGACAAAAATTAATTGCAAAATATGTTTATAAAATATCAATAAAAAAAATTCAAAATAAAGTGTTGATTATTGTCATTGGAGAGTTTGATTACCTGAATGGATGTTAACGTTGTAGCAGCAATCGAAGGGAGTATACTGCATGGAAGTGAATGGACAAAAATGGCAAATTTTTCTTATCATTTCTTGAACAACTGGTTCCTTAAAAAATAAATTTTAACCGTAGCGTTGTTGTTATTCCAACTGATAGTCGAGTCGCCACTCCCATAGGCCCAATAGTCGAACCCTGCAATGTTCTTTCCTGTAAACTTTTTTTGCTGAAATGCATTCTTCAGGCCGAGAGAAGCAAAATTAGCTTGGTTGCTGTTTCCGAGACCTTGAGCATTTTTCAATATGGCCGTCAATTTATGAGGAAAAATAGAAAAACGACCAGAAGTCGCCGGGTAAACTTTATTGACAGCTTTTTTGAACGTGTATCCTATCAGGAGAGTACAACAGTACTAGTGAATAAGCTTAATCGCGTACCACTTAGCAAAAAACCAAAATGGACGTCAAAACATAAGGCAGAAAATGATAAAAGTTTG